TTCCTTTTGCTACAAAGCCATGTCAGGGTTACTTCCACACAGGAGAGAGAGTAAGAGCAGCTGTTGATGTGGAGAACATGCAGAACAGCTGCAGGACACCGCATGGAATCAGCTTCACGGAAACAAAGAACTCAAGTTTTGCAAGGTTTGAGAATACCAGCTGCAGTTCCTATCAGGTTGCAGGTTGGGAGCAATTTTGATGCAATTTTTAAAGAAAAGTGCACATTTTGGCACTTGTTTAATGAATGTGGCCATTTTCAGCCTGTAAAGCTGTGTCTGTGCCCTTCGGCATGCCACGGCAGATGTCCTACGGATACTCTAGCTGGACAGCATCAGAAAATGTTTCTTCTCTACCCCACGCTTACTGAAACAAAGCAAAAAGACTCATCCACAACCAAACCACCATATTTACACTAAACAGAATAGCAACACCACTAGAAAAACAGTTTCCAAGTGGTGAGAGGCACAAGTGCATGAGACAAGCAGGACAAGCCCAGTGCACAATGTGCCACCACCTCTCCCACCAAGCTGTCTCCGAGGCTGCCCGCTTTCTCTCTGCTCCCTGAGCTCAGTTTCCACAGCTGCTGCAGGAACTTGTGATCACTGCTGTGTCAGGAGGACAGTGCAAGGAACAGCTGAGATTTCCTCCCTGGTAAACTGCCCTCCTGCTCTGAAAAAGAGCCTCCAACCCAGCTGTCACTCGGGGGAAGGGGATGAAGCAGGACCAGGGCTGCTCTTCATGATCCAGCAGAGATAACACAGGGATATCCCCACTTCAGACTCTTTACTACACTCACTGACCTCCTCTGCTAAATACCTTCCCAATCCTCTGTGAGGCAGGTGAGTATTAGCTCCTGCGTCAAAGTAAAAAGCTGCCTGACCAAAGCTGCCGAGGGCATCAGCGTGTAAGCCTGGCTCAGACCCTGGCTCAGACCCTGGCTCAGACCCTGGCTCAGACCCTGGCTCAGACCCTGGCTCAGACCCTGGCTCAGACCCTGGCTCAGACCCTGGCACGCTTGGCTTTCGGCCCCGTATTTTCTACAAGCAACCCTGGATTTAATCTGGGGGTGGCATTCACAGACTGGCAAGTTAGCACATTAGAATAAACAGTTGATTTAACAACTCCCCAGCTGCTTGGCTTCCACCTTACAGTCATCTAGGTCTCAAGCTGCTCAGCGACACTCCTATGAATGGATTTTCAGGATTTGCTACAACACAAGTAAAAACAATGAATAACTCGGATTTAAATATATCAGCTCTGTGGCTGTGGAGCAGCTGGTGAGGGTTGAGACACGAGTACCTCATGGCATTAGGCATTTTGTAGTTCATGAAGAAAGGAGGGAGGAGAAAAACAGAGAAAATGAAGCAAACAGGCCAGATTGGCAGGTTGTGAAAAATCACTGTATTCCCTTTGAAAGCCATTGACTTCTGGTAATTACTTCCAGTAATTTAATCAGTTCTGGACCTCATTCAGGACACTCAGAAGGGAAGGGTATTTTGGTATGAAAAGACCAAAGTATTTGAGAAAAAGAATAACACAATATTCTTAGAGATAATAGGAAGATAGAAGGGATTGAGTTTCTGTACCTGTCTTCCTGCATACCGCAGAGCAAGCTTTCCACTCACTAATGCTTGCACATCTTCTGGGCTAGAGAGGGAGGGAAGAGAGGAATTATTCAACAACGGGGCCAGCTTAAATCCAAGCATGCCTCAAAAATTCCCAACTGATAGCAAATTACTACCATTCAAATAACATTGCATCAGAAGCATTGATCAGGTCATAAATAAAGACAAACAGCAAAGCTTGTCTGCCTGAATTCTTTTCATTAGTTTAGAGTCTTCTAAACAAAAAACCTTTCCCATTTAAAAGCAGGAAATATTCTTCACAGAACCATTTGCCACGTACATGTTCAGCATGATTTTGCAGAGCAACATGTATTTCAGTGCAGTGATGGCTTTTGGGTTGTCAATCGAATCGTATCCCTCAAACGCCTCGTAGAAATAGGAATAAGCTGTTTTCCAGTCCTTCTCTTCTGCTGCGTGGATGATGCCTGTGGAGAGGAACAAACAGGCAGAGCTCATTTGGAATGTGGGGACACAACAATTTGGTTGCCCAGTGCTTCATTTGGTACTTTAGCAAAGAGAATCCTTTCCTTCTTATGTTCCCCTTTACCTTATTCCTAGCAGAAGACATCCACGCCCTCTCTTAAGAGAAGATGTTAAGAAAGGCAAGTTTGGGGCACTTCAGGTAAGTGGCTGCAAATTAGGTCAGGAACAACGTTACAGTTCCACTAAGACAGTGTAACGGTAGTGCCTGGGGAGGTTACAGACCCTCCACCACTGCAGCTTTTCAAAAATGGGCTGAAAAAGCATGTCAGGAACAATGTAATTATAGCTGATACTGCCTTGAGGCAACTGGGCAGACTCGTGGGTATCTCGAGATCCCACCTAGCATCGTTTTCCATGATTCACTCAGGAAAGAACAAGTATCAGTCAACTGATGCGTCATGACAAGTCCTAGACTTTCCCCTGTCCTGAAGGGCTTTACCTGACTGCATGTCTAACGCTGCCTGCAGCTTCGGTGGACAGTAGATTGCGTTGGCTGTAGTCCTTGCAGAGGTTAAGGCTGCTCTTGCTTTTGGCAGATTGCTCAGGGCATGGTAAGTCTTACTTTCTAGTAGCTGCACTTCCACCAGCAATGCCTTGTCATCCATCTTTTTCAATTCCCGAAGAAGCTGGGAGCCTGGCAGTGGGGAAGAACAAGAACCTTCATAACCTGCTCTGCATCTGCTGTCAACAGCTACACAAACCAAGTCTTTCCAGATGACACTCTTCTTCCCCCAAAGCAGTACTGGCTTTGAGGAAGGGAGGCTTACCCAACCTGTTCTCTCAAGAAGGAACAAAGGAGAAGAAATAATAGTGAGTCAGTGTCAGTTCAGAGCTGGAGAAGAATGAACCAGTTTTGTGTTAAGAGGTGGAAGAGGGCAGTGAGAACACTTGGGTAGGTGGACAGTGTCTCTGTCGCCTCATCACGGGCAGGAGACACTCAGGAGAAAGTCAAGGATTGGTTGTGCAGTTTGGATTGTCACTCTGGTACCCCATCCCCAGATGACAGCATGATTTACCACTCAAGATTCAGAGCTCCGAAGAAACCTGAAGTACTGCCCATTCCTGCATCATTCCCCTGGGCTGAGACCTGAGGAATTTCAAGTAACTCCTAAGAATATGAGATGAGGAAGGAATGTTTTAAGCACAAGCCATCTACAGATCAAATTTAGGAGGCAGGAACGGGCAGCCTAAGAAATGCCTAGATAAACTGTCACATTAAGGCCTTGTGAGGACAGAAAGAGCCAGGCTCAGAGGAAACTCTTCCCCTTCTTCCTTAAGGTTGAACTTGACAATCTTAAAGGTCTTTTCCAAGCAAAACAATTCTATTCTTTCCCTCTGCTACAAATTAAAGAGCTAACTTAGGGCAAGCAGAGATGAGAACTTCATCCTCACTTGCTGTGAAGCTGAAAACTACAGCTGAAACTGCGTAACTAGGTGAAAGAGAATCAACTCTCCCTAGAAACATCCCGTAGAGACTCTCTGCTTGCACCTACTCCCCGTGGCTGCAGACACAACCACCTCTCAGCCAGGCACACAGAAATGCCAGCACCCAACGTTGACAGAGCTTTCAGAGAGGCTGCCCTATAAGCACAGGCCTTTGTAACTCCCTAAGCTGCACCACCATCATCCAAGTGATTAAGTTAATTAAGCTTAGCTTTGGAGTGCAGACTCTGATCAGTTTAAACCCGAATTCCTTACATACCCACACGCAAACTAATTCTAATTTGATCTTGAATTTCATCTATCACAGCACTTAACTTGATATTCTGATCAGATACAAGTCACTCAGGTGACTCTGGATGTGACATACTCTTGCCACCACACTCTTTAAGAAGTTACGAGTCCCTGGTGAGAATCACAGAATCCCAGACTGGTTTGGGTTGGAAGGGCCCTTCAAGCTCATCCAGTCCCAACCCCCCTGCCAGCAGCAGGGACACCTTCCACTAGACCAGGTTGCTCAAAGCCTCATCCAGCCTGGCTGAGAACACTTCCAGGGAGGAGCAGCCACAGCTTCTCTGGCCAACCTGGGACACTGGCTCACCACCCTCACACCAAACAATTTCTTCCTCACATCTCAGCTCCATCTCCCCTCTGCCACTTTCAAGCCATCACCCCTTGTTCTGTCACTCCCTGCCCTTGGCCAAAGTCCCTCCCCAGCCTTCCTGGAGCCCCTTCAGGTACTGGGAGGCCACTAGAAGGTCTCCCCGGAGCCTTCTCTTCTCCAGGCTGAACAGCCCCAACTCTCTCAGCCTGTCCTCACAGCAGAGCTGCTCCAGCCCTCGCATCATCCTCGTGGCCTCCTCTGCACTGGCTCCAGTAGCTCCATGTCCTTCTGCTGTTGGTGGCCCCAGCACTGGAGGCAGCACTGCAGGTGGGCTCTCACCACTCAAGTGAGGCATCACTGCTGTCTGGGTGAGCATTTCTGTCCATGTCAGAGCAGCTGTCCCTCAGCCCTGCTCACACCCAGGCGCTGAGCTGGCGGAGCAGTCTGTACAAATACCCTTTAACCAGCTTAAACCTCATCTTATATCACCACAGGCATTTGCAAAACGAGCATGTGAAAAGCACCAAAGGGAGCTGGGCCGTGGAAGATGACCTGCTTTACTCTGCTCTGGAGCAGAGCAGGAGAGTTCACACAGTTAATTACCATATCTCAGGTGGTGCAGAAGCAAATTCTTAAAGCTTTGACACTTCACAGGAGCTTGTCTAATTACATCCTTCGAGGTCTGCCATTTCCTGGCATTACTACTGTTTTTATTGAGGCCATATTGGGGTAAACTGAAAAAAGCTGGTTTCTCCCTTTGACCTCTCTGACCACAGCAGCATGCTACGTATGTTCCAGCACGAGCCAAACCTCATGGCCTTCAACTGGATACAGCTCCTCTTTGCTTCCAGAACTATTTGGAATGAACAAATGGTGAGAACAAATTGATCTCTAAAAGCTTTTATCACCAAACTATAGGGAAAAATGGTAGAACTGGTACAGCACTGAGAAATTAATGCCCAAGTCCTACAAAACTTATCAAGGAGCATGACGTAGTGGATCGTTTCCCTCGTCAGCCTCAAGACTAATTTCAAAGAACTACTACCACCATCTAGTGGGAAACTCACCCAGCTGCAGGGCTTCCTGGTACCTCTTGGTATCGAAGTACAGAGAGACCAGCCTCGCCTGGAGAACAGAAAAGGAACTGCTGTGAGGAAAGCCAGAGAAAGGGAGTACAGATTTATTTTGTAAAATTAAACTTTATACTCTTATCTGTGCAGACTTCACTATTTTTATTTATTTATTTATTTTTAATTATATGGTCCAGTTCTGCAAGATCTATCATTTGGAAGATATGCCAATTTAAACAGAATGGGTAAAATCCTGCTTATTCAAGAGTCACTAACTTTAGTGTCATCCCTATTGCTCATCCATTACACAAAGGTCTGGACAACACACTACACAAGTTCTCTGCTTTTATAGGTATGAAATCTGATAAAGGGAAGGTGCTGTGCCACAGGTTTGGGATCTGTGATGTGACATACCTCCAGAGCCTGGCGTAGGAAAGTCCTCTTCTCTGATTTGGCCCATTCAATACACTCTAAACACAGGTCAACCTTAAAAGGATCAGAAAGAAATGTGTAAATTTCTTTAAAACAGCAGTATGGTTCAATCATTTCCTACTTTGTTCTGTTTAGTTTTAAACTAAAATGTTCCTTTAGTTTAAGCTTCAGCTGTCACAAATAACAGATCACCTTCTCTGATTCCTTTTCTAATGCATTTGGGTTCCAACAAAGCCTGAATCTCCACCACGTAGTTTAAAGAAATAAGTAATTCCTGTCTGAACAGCAGCACTGCTAAAGATGAAATTAGTTTTATTTTAAAATAAGCCTGGGGATTAGCCTTCATCTTTAGCACCTACCCCAAATGTCTCTGAACATTTAACCCTTTAACATTACCAGGGTAAAGTGTAATTCACCACTGCAGTGAGCTGCAGCTCAGCAGTGGAAGGTGAAGTGACTTCTCTTCAACAAGGACTCACTGGTAAGCACAGACATCCACTTTAGCCTCAGGCTGCATCATATTGACACCAGAAATGTTGCACAAAATGATACAGAACAGCCATAGTTTGTGCTACATATCATCATATTCTATTTTCTAGATTAACCTCCTGCACTTTGTAACAACGTTCACAGTATTATACCACTTGTAAAACGTTTTGCAAGAGAAAGTGAAGTTCAGAAGGCAAACTAAGGTTTAGTTTAAGCTCCAGCTGTCACAAAAAAACCCCAACAGACCACCCTCTTTGATGTCTTTTCTAATGCATTTGGTTTCCAATCACCAGGGACAATCCTCCCACACTGGAATAGGAAAAGAAAGATTTGGCTTCCAAAGTTTCACCAGTAAAAATTACTGTTGAAATCCTCCTAGCATTTCTTAAACAGCTGTGTTTTTGTTTGAAATAAAAACATCTGGACACATGAGAACTGTTCTGCCACAAGGCAAGGGATGGACTGGAAGACTTTTGAGGTCCCTTCCAGTGTGTTTTGCACCATTTCAATTTGGCCATAGAGAAAAATGAATTTTTAGTTGCTCTAGAAAGAAAGGAAAATTAAATGCATGTGTTTTAGGACCTAAGTATTGTCAGACCATGTGTGTCCTTTAGTATAAAGCAAGAGAGGTGCTGGGTGCCACTAGTTACAACGGAGTCAGGTGCCAGGAGCCAGTGAGTCAGTGACACTGGATGTTTTATCTATCGCTTCAAAGCGGAGCAAAGGAACTCAACGGCTTCTCATATTTTCAAGACTGTTGAGACTCCCTTGATGAATAAAGCAGTTGTGTTCCACCCCAATGAGAAGAGGGCGCTGATTTAGTACTGGCCAATAATATACAATAATTCATCCTGAGGTGCTAGGCTCAGGAATACAGCTGGATCACAGCTCTTTCTGGAGCAGCTCTGTAGCCGTATGACACTGCAGGACCTGTCAGCTCCTCGTCACTGCTTATTAAATGGGGATATTTTATGAAAAGCCATTATGAAGTCAGAATTTATTGCACTGTGATAGCTGGAGCATGAGGAGCTGGAGAAATCTCTCATTTCATTGCTTTACTGGACTCCTGGGAGTCTTCAAGAATATAAGTTAAACTGGGGAAACAAACGTCCCTCCAAACATTTCTGAGGCACTGAAAGTATTCAGGATTCCTGCGTCAGGAACCTCACAGGTTAGGTGTTGGAATTCCTTAAAGTTTTGGGGTTGGCTTCTGAATATGCTGGAAAGTGAGTGTTTTGACTAACTGGGCCATATTTCCATCGCTGTTACTCCAAGTTCTTCCCCTGCTGTAAAATGGTACCTTTTGGAATTGCATCCAAATATCTTCATTTACATCAAGTTACTTTTAGAAAAAGTCTGAAGCTCCTGATTTTCTCCTGATCCCTTTAGGGGTTCCCTTCTCACCTGCACATCCCACCCCACTTCCCTGAATCTCATCTGTTAAAGAAGAAGGACAAGAGATGCCGTCCGTCACGGTTTATGGTGACAGGACACACAAGCCACAAGAACTGAACAGTGAACAGGATCACAGGATTGTTCTGGTTGGAAAAGACCTTTAAGATCATCGAGTCCAACTGTAAAACCAACTCTGACAATTCCACCACTAACCCATGTCCCTCAGCACCACATCTACTCCTCTTTTAAATCCCTCCAGGGATGGTGACTCCACCACTGCCCTGGGCAGCCTGTTCCAAAGCCTGAGAACCCTTTTGGTGAATAATTTTTTCCTCACATTCAATCTAAACCTCCCCTGGTGCAATTTCTATCCTATGAGTTCTCCTTCTCATGCTCCCAACATGTCCAGAGTCTGCACCTGAACACAGGTGGTTCAAGGACGAAGAACATTTGCTAGGTTACCTGAATTAAAGGGTGACACTTCTGCACTAATTTGGCTAACGAGGAAGCCACCTGCCTCCCAACATGGCAGAACCTCTTCTACAGACTGTTATTTGTCAGCTGCTGTGTGTACAGTGTTACACGAGCTTTGTCTTTAACCTGCTGCTCCGACCCTCCCTGCCTCCCCGTTCCATCTACCTCCTTCAGTCCGTCAGTACAACCTGTGCTACTGCAGGTCAATGGTGTTTGGAAGTGGTTCCTTATCATTTCCGAGTTGCTCCTGTCCTTCTCCCATTCCTAAATAACCAGCAAGTCACATGGATAAAAAAAATATAAAAAGAAAGAAAAAAAAAAAGAAGAAAAACAATTCTAGGGGGTTAATGAGAATGGAGGAAATCCAAACTGTGGGCTATCTTAGCCTGAATGGGTTTTCTAGTGGATAATTTCACCCAGTGGAAGTGGTTTACACTTGGTAACTGAAAAACTTTTTCCACTCCTGCTTCAGGAGTCACTTTCCTGCCTCAGAAGCCTTTTGTAGAGTAAAACATCCACCATGCTGTGTTCCCATGCAACGTGCCTTCCCATCTCCAGGGGAAAGGTGCTAAATTAATACTCACCATCCCATCCCACCAACTCCTGAACAGACCCTGCACATTTCTCCTCTAGCTCTGTGCCATCACACATTACACATCACACATCTCCACCTTCCCACCAGACCAAGCTCCCCACAACAGGGGTAGCACCTCTTGTGTCCCAGACACTAATCAGGCTACAAAATGCTACCAACACTGTACGTCTAAGACTAAGCAACACAGATCTAAGAAAAACACCCCAGGTGAGAGTTACTCCTAACCTGCAGCAGGATGAGGTTTGCAGAAAAACATGGTTATGAGTAAATTAAATTATCTAATGTTTTATTAATAGAATATATCCAAATGCATCAAATTACACGTTTCCCAACATGAACATTTTTTCAGTGTGAAGCAAAGTAGGTCAGATAAGGGTGTTAGGCTTTTGAGGAACAAATTACTGCTGAAATGTAAACCTCACCTCCTGCCCTGTAGCTGCCTCCATATCAAGGAACAGATCGAGCAGAGACCGGACTAAGCGGGCTGCCTTTGCTTTGCTGATGGAGTTCAAGAAGGGTCGGACGTACTTCAGGAGTCCCCCCAGCTCTGTAAACAAGGAAAAGCAAATCATGAAAGACAACCACACAGCCAAACGTCACACCACGGGCTGAGCACCCGACACCTCTGTACACAGCACTGTTTATTACACCAAACATTTTATAAGCAGTCCCTCAACATCATTTATGGGAAAAGAGTGATAAATGTTACCTGAAGGAATGTCTTGCAGTAAACACGGGGACTGGCCAAGAGGACTGGTGGGTCCCAGTCTCACCCGCACTGCACACGCTTCCCGTTACCCCATTATAACACCATTTGTAACTGCACTGGCCTCAGGCATGTTTTAAAAACATAAGCATCTGCTAAACACTTTGAGAGTTTTCTATAAAATGGGCAACAGAATTTAAGTGGGTTTTTATTAACTCACAGTTGGATGTTTTAATCTCCACACCATGTTCCACTGCTGAAAAAATGTCGTTTAGCATTTCGACTACACGTTACCTAATGAGATCTTACTTTAGTTAACCAGATTTCTGTTGCTGATTTTTCACAATCCCAAATATAAATCCAGGCTGGGCCATGAGTGGATCGAGAGCAGC